CTTGCGACCACGAACCGAGCCTCGGTGCGCTGGAGAGTTGTCTCTCTCTTTCTTTCTCTCCCTCTCTCACTTGCCTCAATTTCATGTGACGTCATTGATCGGTGATCCCACAGTGGCTACCTCGCAGCATCGTTCATCAGGAGCAGATACGACACTTTGGTGTTGGACACCGAATGTCTAGGTTGGCTGACTGAACAGCAAGTAGGTCACGCCGGCTTCCAGTTCCTGGGCCTCTCCTCTCGTCACGTCAGCGAGCGGCCTTCGACGGCTACCTTGACTTCAGAGTTCTCATTATTTTACTTGGACGCTTATTTCGTGGTGGAGAGATCTTAACAAGCCTTGACCTCTCGCTCTCTGCGTTGCGGTGATGGTATTTACAGTCGACACTGAAGCTGTAATCAGCGAGTGTTAAGTTGGCTGGTTCTAATACTGCAAGCTTCTACGACAATACAACCCCTGGAGAATTCAACAACGAAGGTGGCACAACCCTTCAAAGTTTCCTCAATATCAAATGCTACCCAAAATCTGTACAACATAAATTCTCAGAGTGCACCCTGTAGGAATTTAATACAAATGAGAAGATATGACCTTCTCGAGAAGTTTGTCACTAAATTCCACGTCTTATATGAAACCCGACAATTCATTATCGTATTCACAAAAGCCCATCACAAGTCCTTATCCCGAGCCGAATGAATCCACTCCACAAATTTCAACTTACTTCTCCTGGATCAATCACGATATCACCCCCCCCCCCCCAATGTCTTTAGCGTGGTTTCTTCCCTTAAGGCTTCCCAAATAAATTCTTTTTAAACAAATAATTCCAAAAATATATCCTCTGTTAATGATAAAAATTTGGTCCCTTGCGATATGTAATATATTCTGGGTCTAAATCAGATCGGAATAAAATACACGCATTTTGTTGGGATAATACAGTTACATCCACGACCTCTACAGAAAGAAATCAAAACGTTAATTGGTTACACAAGGGCACAGAATTAGCAGTAGCGTCTGTTTTAATTAGCAAAGTAAAGAAAATAATAAAATTAATACGGAAGTGACACTACACAATTATGTAAAAATCAAAACACGTTAAAAAGACGACAGCTAAGTAGATTCAACAACGCTTTCCGTCCTGTAGATGTACTTAAACTATAAAAACATTCGTGCTTTAAATGATGATAATTTTCTTTTCTGATTTAATAACATTTATATTTAACGAAGCAGCATTTGGACTCTCGCCGACTTAGCGCCAGTGTTTGCTGAAGTTCTTGTAATGTTATCTATGAACGTCGCCTGCAATGGTTTGTTTAATCACCCTGCCTAACACGAGTGTATGCAAAGTTGCCGCACCAACACGGCGAACACAGAAAAGGTATAGTTCGCGACTGTAATCGAAAGACAGCGTCTGCCTTTAACGCTACGCACTTCTTGCATTCCTTGCGAGTCTCAAGATTACAGTCGCGTACTGTAGTGTTATTCGTTTGGGTCCGTCTCGATCCTCTAAAGGCCACTGGTAACAATATATACCACCTGCTTTAACAATATATAATTCTGCATTTTGTCCACACGGTGTATTTGTGTGTTTCGTACTATTCTCAGAATAAACAGCGATTATTTCCTTAAACAGCATTAACTAATTTATCGTTATCATGAAAATGTGTTTTCTTTGCAACAGAAACTAATACTTTAAATATAACTTAAATGATCTTCAACTTCAGAGGTTTACAAATAACCATAATCGTGCGTGTGAAAAATCAGAAATTCACATTTGTTATCAAACTCCTTAACATCTGGAATTTCTTCAAAAGCTGTTTTGAACCCCCTGTAAACAATCTTATTAATATAAATAATATTGTAATGCTTCAACAAGATTCGTACTCAGTTAAAATTCTAAAACCAAATCCATATTTCAGGGTCTTTTAGAAACAAATATTATTTTCAGCTGATCAAAAAATTTCTAACCGAATCACAAATGTTCCTTCCAGAAAAAACATAAAGTCTCTCGGGTAATCAAGAAATTCCACACTAGGATTTGAGAGTTTCACGGCGGTGATCCGAAGATGGCGGTCTTAAAAAAAATCTCCGCCTTTTGTGCACTTTTGGGTTCCGAAGGTTTACTACCGTGTTCACAAAAGCCAACCACTGGACCCTACCATAAGCCAGATGAATCCAGTCAACTCCTTCGTGAGCTATTTCATGAACATCCACAATTAAGATTTCGCCAAGTAAGATGGCAGCCCTGTCACTTAGGCTGCCAAACTCTCGTCGTGAGACTGGTGATTTTACAGAGGACATTAAATCATTATATTGTTTCATTTAACATTTTTGCACCTATTGTCCTATTTTAGGATTCTGAGTTATTGAAAGCGTCGTTAACTAAACAAATTGCAAACAGGCATTAATTTTTCAAAATCTTCAGCAAGTAAGACTTTGGCTGCTTAAAATCTTATCTAAATCAAAATTCAGTCTGAGGGTAGGATGTTTCTTACAACTTGAACAAGTCTCCTTACGCACATCACAAATCTTTTTTTTCCCCCCCCCCCCCCCCATTTTCCCAACACCTAAACTTGGCATTTATATTTCAGAATAAAAGTTTTAAATTTTGTTCGTATCCAGACTACATACTGCGCCGATCCTGACTGAACATTCGTGCCATCTAGCTTTAGCTCCATTAACCAAAGTTTCTTTCTTTCGTATGGCATTCCTAATAGACAGCGCTGCTAGTCATTCTGGCATCAATATCAAAATTAACTTAAAATTAAACAATTTTTGGAGGAAAAACTGCATCTTGTTTGTGGTGTATCCTATGAATAAGCAAAAATATATAATCTTCTTCCTTCATTAATACTAGCCTGACTCTGATACTGTTAATGGATTCATCTGGAAGTGATTTAATTAGTCTTATGACGAAAAGGGCGGAAACATACGGCTTTTGGTTAATTTCTATCATAACTTGGTAGGCCCAACATGGTTAATTTTAGTCGTTCCAACTGCAACTGCGGAGAGACACACATAGTTTCCCTATTAGTGTTTGGTCTATAACATAAAATTCTACATTTTTTTTAAAAATCCCAATAAAATATTCAACTTCGACTCGTATATTTTATAAATTATGACTTTCAGACAGCCAGCACATGAAGAAGTTAGTCTATTTTGAATCTAAATCAATTTAAGATACAACTGTACTGCTCAGAATTTTCAGATTTGTTCGTTAGATGTCTTCTAACTATCAGAGCCACGAATTCCTTTAAACCACATACTGTCATATCGATATTCAATTCTAAAGACAGAATCGTGTAAGTTTTTGAAGCTAAAAAAATGTTCAAACACGTTCTATACAGTTTATAGTTTAGATGCGTCATGTTTGTGTTAAAATTCAGTATATATTTATTTATTATTTCAGTCTATACACAAACTTAGTTTTTAAAATGTTGTTGTTAAAATTAAACGCTTTTCATCGTTATTTTCCTATAATTTTACAAATATATTTTCTACGACAATCTCCAAACTCATTTTCATATTAATATTAATTTCAAATGTTAATAAATTGTTTCACAGAATAATGAACAACTGACCAAAATATGCAAAATACTACGAAGATCAAAAGGAACAACTACAAAAGAAATCTACAATAACAAATAAATCAATAAATGCTTGCATTAATAGATATATATTAGTTTTAAAGATGAAAATAACAATAAAAAACCTGAGGATGACGCAATAGCATCGAAACATGTCGTAAAATAATAAAACGCTGAAATGTAACATCGAAATAACGATGAAAAGCGTTTAATTTTAACAACAACATTTTAAAAACTAAGTTTGTGTATAGACTGAAATAATAAATAAATATACACGTTCTGTACAGTTTGTTACCACGGAATTTCGAAATTAAAAAAAAATTCTGCCTCATTCTCAACGTATAAATAATTAACGCATATGTCAGAACAATGGTAGTAATAAAAATTAATATCTAATTGTCATTGCAAACGTTGGAAAGTAGCTCTTAAAATGGTTTCTGGTAGCGGTGCATAAATAGACGAGCAGGACTGCCTTTCAAATTCCTGAGGCGTAGCTCTTTGGTACTTTGGATACCATCCAAGGGGCTAGTTCACTCAAAATTGGAAGGGGGAGTGTACGCAGAATCAATATTGTGCAGTATAGATCATAACTGAAGCGGATTATACATTTTTCATTTACTTATTCCACGCACCGATCGCTTTGATACAAATCATTATCGACCTACATTAGTTAACTTCCTTATGTCAATATATAAGATACAGCATTTAATCGCATAAGAATGTAATAAGGATAACACCAAATATTACTTCATAAGTTTGAATTATGAAATGAGTCTTTCTTATCTTCTGTAATCATTATCTGCAATGGGAGAAGTTAAATACTGAACCACAAACCAGTAGTGACAGACAAGACATTTACAGATATAAAGGTTCACATGCAGTGCCAGTTCGTCCTTCTGATAAAGGCGAATCGTGTTTAAACAATATTTAAATAAAACACGTCTCGTCTACACGACAACGATTAACTGTTCAGTGCTCTTAGGCAACGTTAAACTCATAAACACACTCCGTGAGCAAAGTAAAGAGTCAATGGTTGTTTTAAAAGACGATCTCAAGAGCTGAACTAGATATGACATAACTTAAGAGAGCGAGTTTTGATAAAACCCCTGTGAATGTCGAAAACAGACAATGTTTTACCATATATAATTCACACTTTTCCTAAAATTTATTAAGCTAACTTCTGTAAGGTTTAAAAAAGTTTAAAAGGCTTCACTCGCCCTAACAAATTCCACCTGCGCTATCTCTGAGACGGCTTCTAATGATGCAAACCGGTTCATAACATAGCTTAGCTTCCTGACTAACGTACGCCGTCCAAGACAGGTCAGCCTTCTGCGCTCTGAGATGTTGGGGTCAATAACTGTTACATTCCGTAGGATACAAGAATGTGCTAATCTTCTCAAACATCAAGTTATACGAGTTAATGTAATCGGGCAACTCTGTTCAGTTGAACTCACAGTATCAACAGGAAAGGACGTGAGGTAAGAAGGTTGGGTGGTCAGTCTAACACGTGTACATGATCGCAGTGCTACATCGACACTTTAATTTTTAATGGCATTTTATTAATAATATTACAAATAATGCAACTTGTGAAATTTCTAGTGAAAACTCTGATTAAAATTTTAATAACTGCGGCGTCATACCAATAATATTTAACTCATTGGGGTCCAAATCCCGTCTAAATAATATTTAAGATTCAGTCCGTACCGCGAAGAAAACACAACACTTCACCATTACAAAGATCGACTAGTTAACGCTGTTTAAGGAGATAATCGCTGTTTACACTGAGAATCATATGTAAGCGATAAATACTCCCTGAGGGTAAAATACAAAACTACTGAATGTTGAAACAGTGGTAAATTTAGTTACCATTAGGCTTTAAAGGGTAAAATAAACAATTAAAGTGTGATAATTTGTTCTTGTTAAAGTTATATATACTCTTACTAAATGCCACAAAAGATATCTGAAGACGTATATTGGTTCAGGACAGATCCAGTTGCGGGCTTTTGTGAAAAGAGACGATAAAATTTCGAGTTTTAAAAAAACAAGGGCTGACTTTACCAGGTGAAAAAGTGTCAACTGTATGATGAGGAAGTTTGAACATTTTTACTACGAAAATTAGGAGATGTTCCGTCATAACACGATTAAGAAGAAAAAAAACTAGCTTATTTCAAAATAAATCCCATTATCTAAGCAGATGAATAATACCACTTCTGATCTTCTCAGAATGTCTACGTTCCAGACTCGATCGCGTGACGTCACATATTATAAATTTATGAACAAAATTTATGTATCGCTGGCGGCAGGACAAAGTGGTATAAGTTCAAAAATTACAATTAATTACGATTGCTCCTTTGGGGTCGGTGATGCGGAATGAAACTGATTATTACAATATAATTCAAGATTATTTTATAATCGTGTTTAATATTCTAAAACAATGATATATATGCAGCTAATACGTCATTTCCTGCAGCGCCACTGCTCGGAACGTCCTGTTTACAAAAATTACAGAAAACTGTTTTAACATGACGACGCTGGCAAGAGAGTTCATTTACGGTACGCTTCTGGTAACAGCGATTCTACACATTTCAGGTAATTATAAAGAAAATTTAATAACTTACAGCAATTCACATGTATCCCACCCTTTTTACCCTCCAATTTCACCCCATTCCTCTGGCAACCTCACCCTATAGAGCTACAAACAAAATAAATCCCCAGCTTAACTCAATTCCTCCCTGAAGATGGAGGCGATAATTTCCTCCGAAACACTGCCAATGACGGCGTCCCAACCCATAAAACTACAACCTAAGTATTTAAGGCATGATCTGTTATTTCATTATGGCGATTGATTAGGAGGTAAGCCGGGCAGGGTGGTGTGTTACTTCGAGAGCTGGGCCATCAGAAACCCGGAAGATGGACGTTACAGTGTCAGCGACGTTCCAGGGGACCTGTGTACACACATCTTGTACTCATTCGTCGGTGTCAACAACGCTACATGGGAGCTGCTGGTCCTAGATCCAGAGGTGAGACGGTGCACTCTACGCCATTTTATAATCACCGCTTTGGATTACGAAATTATTTTATCTCTTTAAAGCCCTACATGTACCACCCGCTTTACGAATCAGTAACTTCCGAAATTTGTATTGATGAGTTTTGCACGATCCTCACAAGTAAAAGAATAGTTTCCTTAAACAGCGTTAACCACTTGATATTTTTAATGGTGAAGTGACGTGTTTTCTTTGCGGTACGGTCTGAATTCTTAAATATTATTTAGACGACCTTCGGATGGTTAAGACAACACCCACTTTCGTTTTAAAATAAAATATTTCATCTATAAAATCTATATTCATACTAACCCAGAAATAATTTCGTTCGTATCATTACGTAGAGTATTGAGTATAAATTTTGTTGGTTTGTAGATTGATGTGGAACAGAACGGCTACACAAACTTCACGGATATCAAACTAAAATTTCCAGAACTGAAGACTTTGTTGTCTGTAGGAGGCTGGGCTGAAGGCGGTCAGAAGTACTCAGCGCTGGTATCAATGAAAGAGCGAAGGAATTCTTTCGTGAAAAGTGTCGTAGGTGAGGAAATATATTCTCTTATCTCGTGATCAAAGTATCAGTTCGCTGAGATCTGAGGTTTACAAGGCGGTGAAGGTGTTATTGACCTTGGACCTCGGGTTGTGACGCAATTTAATTTTGTAGCTAGTTACCAATGTTTTTCAAGAACATGTCACCACTATCTTCATTGTAAATTGAATATGGTGAAGATACTTCCCTCCGAAACGTCGACAGCCACCTACAACAGCACGCGGTGTCACAACCCAGAGGGTCATAAGAAAGTACCAGTTAGTCCTGGGGGTACGCACATTTTTGAAATATAAATAATCCATTATCGTACACGTACAAAATATGGAGTTTATACACACGAATGTAATTGATAAGAGCCTGGCAAAACACGCCCATATTTATTTCAGAAAGCTGCTGGAATGTATGAAACTTTCTCGTACACTACTTGGCAACTGTGCGAGCCTTTTAGGTTATAGCCGGCAAATGTAACATATTTAGAATCTCTAGTAATGAAAATACAAAAAAAAAAATATATTTCACACATGATTTGTAGATACACACTTCACAAACCTATTTCCATTAAATTAAAAGTTAAATATAGACTCCGCACAGACGCCATTCCTTTGTTTTACGCTCTACAAATATAAAACTCCTTAAAAGGGTGCACGCATTTCAAAGATCTACCACACATCATTTCAAGATTCAACTGCACTGCGCTAATAGTGTCGCTAGTATCTCTTCCACCTCAAAATTTCGCACGATAAAAGGTAAGAAACTGAAGAGTACAAACACGTTGGGGGCCTCAAGAACACGATGTCCATACCAAGTTTCATGAAAATCTGTCCAATGGTTCAAAGATCATTGTGTGCGGACACATACATGTGGTACCATAAAACCTTCTTACACTTTTACGATAAGGGAACTAGGTTTATGCTTACCGTTGTCATGGAGATGTTCACTAAATGTTAATTACGTCATCAGATGTATATCTATCCCCCGATCTTGTAGATTTCATGCACGAATACGGATTTGACGGAATAGATCTCGACTGGGAATACCCTGGAGCGAAGGAACGCGGAGGGAATCCTTCTGATAAAGACAACTTCTACTTTCTCGTTGAGGAGTTAAAAATAGCGTTTGATGACGAAGGATTTGGCTGGGAGATTTCTATGGCTGTCCCCCTAACAAGGCGTAAGCTCCAGGATGGATACCACGTCCCAGGGTTGTGCAGGTGAGTTGCACGTTCAAGACAAACGTGACCAAACACAAATGTGTTCTTATATTAAGTCCGCAACTGCAGTGACATTTCGCTGTTTCATTCGGCACGTAAGAACAATTAATAAGTGATCTTATTTCGTTAAATATCTAACTTTCTGAAGTCAAATTAATCAGAGAGAGAAAAGAAAGTGGGGGGTGGGGGATAGAGATAAATATATGGCTAAATAGGTTCCCAGGCAGTACCAGTTCGTCGTTAAAGCATCTACAATCCTTATATCAAACAAAAACACAACTCATAACCATCACAAAGATCAAAGAAATACCTTTCATAAAATCCTATAGATCGTTCCCTCGCTCATAAAAGCCCAATTTTCACTGTTACGACCCTAATTATTTTGGTGTCCTCAGACTTGCAGATGCTGTACACGTGATGGCGTACGACATGAGAGGGATATGGGATGGCTTTGCCGATGTTCATAGCCCCTTATATAGGAGACCACACGACAAAGGCGACCTAGAGAATGTTAATGTGGTAAGTAATTTTAATGTCTAAAGGAACACAAAAATAATCCCTTATGCAAAGAAATCATAATCTAGGTCCTTGCACTGTTTACAGTCATGACGTTTCGTCTACTGATAAAATACCGATTAAGAGGTATTCAAACAGACTTATAAGTATTAACGTAAAGCTTTTTCTCAAAGCACGCGGGCTTACGTAACACAGCTGTTTGATAAGAAGAACATCACACTCCTTTTGATTTTACCACATTTGGAGAGTTTCGACAAATTCCAGTAAACCCCCTCGATACAGAATTTCATCTGTTTCCCAGTCGATTGTACCCGAAAGTGCCTGAAACTGTACGAATAACAATTAATTCATAACAGACGTTTATCTAAAGAAAACATTAAATACACACTGTAACAGCAAAGAACACACTCAGATTCGTTTAATTCCTACCACGTGACAATCTTTGCTTTCGTACAAAAACGACCAGACGCCTGCCTGATTGCGTAAATCAGACAGTAACAGAGTTGACGTTTAAAATCATCGAAATTGCTATATTTGTAATCCCCTATTCACCTTGTCTTGTTACACAGAAAGATGGACTTCAGTTGTGGGTGGACATGGGATGCGCTCCGGATAAGCTTGTAGTGGGAGTCCCATTCTATGGGCATACCTATATCCTGAATCCTAACAGTACCAGCCACGAACCGGGAACTCCCATTGACAGGGACGCCAAAGTTAAGGGAGGAATGGCTTATTACCAGGTAAAAAATACGTATGATTCTAAGTATCCGATGTTATATCTGAATGTGTTATCAATTGATGTTTTTACCGTCTGTTCATGTGAGTAAACAAATGAAATACGTTTCGGGTAATTTGGTGTCGCGAACAAAATTAAACAAACGATACGTACATTTTCTTTTCCAGATATGCCAGGCACTTCAAGAAAAGAACAGCCAGTGGACAGAGAAATGGGATGATTTTGGAAAATGTCCTTATGCATATAAAGGTACTCTTTCAACCCACACGTATTTAAATTTTTCCAGTATAAATTTTCCATCATTCTATGCCAAAGTCCAACAAATATTTTATCTTACTTTAAATTTTTATGGTTTCAAAAAACAATCCTACAAAAAAAATGGAGAAAACAACACATGATTTAATTCGCCACAACGTAAACATTTGTGCAAAGCATTCTCATTCAAAATCCTATGACGCGCTTTTGTGAACACGGCGATGAGTCAACGGGTACCATAGAAGGCGAGGAGCGTCTTGACCAGCTCTACAACTATCAGTTTCTCAAGATGGACTGGAATAGAATGTAACACGCCGGGTTTGTGGTCTATGCTGATGATAATTTACGGGAAGAATATATGAATAATATATAACAAAATCTATCAGATGCTGCCAATTAGATTAGCCCAGAAGTAAACAAAGGCAAAAATATACATAAACATTTATTGTTGAATCATAACAGGCTTATAAAAGTACGAGTTAATAAATCCCTCGGAAAATGCGACAAAGTTCAGATAATCTGAAATAATAGCAATAAATCAAAATTACATTCATTATTATGATTTAAAGTTTCATTCCTTTAAACGGCAGGTATTTAAATAAATTCCCCTTCTCAAATTTCTGCAAAAAAAATCACTATATTTAATTTAGGTTAACAGGTGAGTGACGTGGGTGTAATAATAAGGAGGGTCACCGGACTTTCACAGGAAATTTATGGGTCGGATACGAAAACAGCAAAAGCATCACGATCAAGATGGATTTCATAAAGGAGAATGGTTACGCTGGAGCCATGATGTGGGCACTGGGTTCCGATGATTTCCGTGGACTCTGCGGTCCCAAGAACCCACTCGTTACTATTTTACACGACAGCATGAAGGATTATATCGTCCCTGTCACCAACGTCACTTCATCTGTCTGGGTAAGTGATCCTACCTGAATTTTATTTTATTATTCAGTGTTCTGTCTGACAACAGGTCCATATGAACAGGATCCTTCCATCATTTTCTCTTCTCGGACTGGGACCTGTTCATATACGTTCTTGGCAGATGATCCAGAAGTGGTTTGCCATTGCCTTCTTCTGTGTGTGAATGGAGTAATTGTTGGGATGCCACGGAGGAAAACTCCGTGTTGCCTAGACCACGGCCTTGCCCAAAACAAGTTATAAATTTGGGCACCGCCGGGAATCGAACCCGTTGTTCTTCAGCGCAGTTTCGTGCCAAAGGTTATAAGTTATATTTCGGCCTTACATCGTACATTTACAAACGTAGGCGAAATTCTTATACATTAAAAAAACTCAAAGAGATATAGTTATTATTTGATGTGACGTCACACTCAAGCTTACATTAATATCATCTTTCAAAATCGTGTAATATGTTTACAGGGAAGACACGTTCTGTAAGCCCTAATAGTTTACATTTAAATCCCAAACTCACCTATTACGCAGATACATATAATATTTTCTTGCTTAATGCGTGATAAACGTAACATACAGGAGAACTTTGTTTACAGGTTGATTGGATTTCGCCACCAAGAACCACTTCATCCAGTAGTTCCGCAGAGTCCACATCAACATCCGAATTCACAACAATTATAACATATATGACTACCGAATCAAATGTAAGCTCTTCTGATTAAAACACCTGAAAATCCTAACACATGTGCCCCCATATAATACTGAAACAGAGGTTAATATTGAGATTTGTCATGATTGTGTTAATAATATCCTCTGTGCACGGAGGACAAAGGCATAACATAACTATATGTAATAAATAATTTTAAGAATGTTTCAAATGTAAGCATATACGGGGACAATAATACTAAATGGATTTATAATGAAATTTTGTGGAAGAATATTTTTTTTTTAAAATGCTTCCTACTATCCACTTAAAAAAATCTCTCGTCATCTCGTTTACTTAAAATAATATCCACCCATGTGATGGCCCCGGGAAATGTAACCTCTTTTTTAAGCGGTCCTCAGTATGAATCGCGTATCACCAATGAAAAATGCAACAGAGTGGTTTCTGGCGAAACTTCAAGGTTTCCATTAATATTCCCAATGATAAACAGATTTATGATATTACCCAGAATTCTCCGCTGCGTAAGAAACGTGATACATGAACTGATAATACAAAATGTACAATAAAGGCATATGTAAAGAACATGCATATTTCACGTGGGCCTAATTAAAACACCTTAATCTATGTGAATGATGTACTGCGGGTTTTGCGATATCTTTCAAGGCCAAGGTTTTTAAAATGCTGAAGACAATGAAGTTTCACTAAATCCAAGCACACATATTAATTGGTTTATTGTAAATAAGAGCAGGCAAAACAAATTTCCAAGACGAGCGGGTACAGCCTGGGAACCTTTACAGGAAAAAAAATTACTTTTTCCACCGCCCCTCGTTAAATGCAGTGTCTCTCACTACTCTTTTCCCCTAACACCTTCTCTGTCAGTTGTCTTTTAAGGGTTAAAACGTTTAGAGTTAACCCCCCTAATGGCTCACATTAACCACTTTGTATCTACAAGGAATCGACTGAAGATGTCTCTCTCATTTCTCGCAACTCCTCACCTACGCACATCCGCTAGTGAGTACCAGTACATTTTGTCATCAATATTCGGAAGACGTAAATTATACTCCACGTTGATTCAATCACTTCCTAGTAAGATTGTCGGCGCATTGTAACAACTGTAGCCTTCGGAAAGGCCGAACGCATCTCGGATCTCAAATGTTAGGCGACATTGAGGAGAAACGCAATCCGTACGTCCTTTGTTACAGCGGAAATGGTTTCTTAGTACGGCCACAGACCTCAATGACACAAATCCCTTCTTTGTTTCGTCCATAACTTATTAATCTAACTTCGTATTACCAGTTTCCGACTGACTAATTATTGGTCGCACAGTGTTTCTTAAGAAGACGATAATTTCCCAGCTGGTTATTAACTTATAAGGGCCCCAAGCGTTCATACAATATTCACAAGAGCACGCCACTCCACGACTTGTAGCACAGCGTCTGTTAATAGGATGGATAATGAGTCGGATGGAAAAGGTAATTTATGGTACCATTACAACATATTCTAGTAGATAGTGAAGAAAACCACGAATGATCCCCAGGATAGTCTTGTCTTCGGGCGGTTGTTAACCCGGTGGCTTCCGAATGCAAATCAGCAGTGCCAACCACTAGACAACTACGTTAGGTGGCCCAGGAAGGCAAGTGCGAGGCGGTTTGCATGCGGAACAGTTAGAAAAGATTAGAAGTTCGACTCCCTGCTGAAACACGGGAAGACAGAACTGTTTAATGACCTCTGTATCAAAGAGACAACGCCCACTAAGTTGGAAATCTCGCCAGATAGACACAAGCTCCAAGCAAGACTCTGAAACGTTGGTTAACATCGACCAGACTACACAGCGCAATAACCCAGAAGACGGATATCTTCAAGATCAAGGATTGGTCAAAACTCTGTTCCATGTGAAAGTTCAGATACCAAGCACCCACTATTTTCTCTC